TTAAGGGCAATTTCAGGAGGTCGAATGAATGAAGGGAACTGAATCTGGCTAGGAGGTTTCCTCGAGCTTCCGATCTCAGACTTTTTTCCGGTCAGGTTGCTTGAGCCGTGGCTGGGTTATTCCTAGCTGTAGTTGCGGGATCCTGTTGCTGAATCTATTGATATATGTAAATATCATTCTAATTTGAAATTTTTTGACAAAGTCATCGTTTAGAGAAATGATGATATGAACTCAAGGTCTAATACCTATTGATGAAAGAAAACCTAAGGTTTAAAAGCTAGACGGACAATGAAACTTCACTTGTGATGTGATCCTTTGTGCTTAATTGAAGCATATATGTGAAAGTTTTGAAAAGTTCAAAAGTCTAATATGAAGTCCAGTATAAACTTGAAAAGATAATGATAACATTACAATATGATTGTAATTGTGAAAGTTTAAGTCAAGACATGTACTTGGAAACATATTCAAAATATTGTGATATGATCGTAATAATGAGAATTTAATCCAAGACCTTAATACACATCCAAGAGTTGTGAAATCTTTTACAACAAACTCCGAAAGAAAACCTTGTGAAATGTTCATGAAAAGGAGCTATCAATCCATATGAGATATATTTTGATAATTGTAGACACCCAAATATGTCTCCCCAAAACCAAACCCAGTGATGAATATCTTTCACGTCGAATGATTATCGAATGAAGTGAAAGTGTGAAAATTCTAGTGATGCGGTAGTTTTTATTAAAATTCTTATTCTGTTTTCAAAAACCTACTCTATTTTATAAAAACATCCATTCCAGTTTAGTTTAGTCCATTATAAGGTCAATAATTGTGTAGTTGGATGAGGCTTGAAAATACCGTTGCAAAGATATATTATAAGCCCAATTCCGATGAATAATGAGGAAGTTATGGCCAAAATACTAAACTAGGCCCAAACCAGTTTTTACCTACGGCCCAATTATCATGTGGAGGGTCCAAAGATCTAATCATATTCCTAAACTAATTAGGATTAATTAGAAGATTCTATAATTTTCTAAAATATCTTAATTATACTTTTTGAAAAGATAAGATTAAAAAATTTGAGTTAAATAAAAACTTTTTTTTTTAAGTCCTAATTTTATTCGAATTTAAAGATGTTTAAAGACAGTCAAATATTATTTTTGTGCCTTATAATCTTTATTCAATTCTTATATGGTTGGATAGATCTCGAAATTATCTTTCCAATGACATATTATAATATTAATTCCGAGCGATAACGAAAAAGATATGAATGGAATACGAAACTCTATCCAAATCTGACATCCTTCCACTATTTCAGCCATATCTTTTTATCTACAAAATATTTAAATCTGATTCAAATTGGATTGGAAAGTAGACTTCAAGCGCTTTCCAAGACACATTATATGACTTTTTTGGACTTTTGGATCAAAAGATATGATAAAAACAAAATCCGCAAAAACTGTCTTGCAACGCCTGACGACAGATTCGTCGCCTGGCGACGAGCCTTGTCATTGGAGACAGAGAGGTGTTTTATTCCTTTTTGAACTCTGATTTTTTTCTATCGATTCTGGACTATTTTCTTATAAATAGGGTCCCTGGACCTCCGTTTTTTAATAACCAGAATTCTATAATTCTTCTCTCTCTCTCTAATCTAAAGCTTAGTCTTTCTCCCTCTTTCTAGCCTAGCCTTTTACAAACACAATTCCTCATACATTATCACTAGACACACCTACCCAAGTTCGAAGTGGCCTTTGCCCTATACGTGAAAGGTTTGATATTTCTGAGGGTTTGGTCCAAATCTTTATTTCAATTATTTAATTTAATTATATTGTTTTATTATTTTTCTCGAAGTTACTAACGTGTGTATTTTGTCATTAGAAAGAGATACGAGGCATCGAAGTAAGTACTTTATTTGTTTTATTGATCTTTTGATATAGAAATCATGCTTAGATTATTATTTTGATTCCTAGTATCATGTTAGGATGTTTTATTGTTTCCTAGTATCATATTTAGGGTAATGATTAAATTTCTAATATCAAGTATGATTGTTATGATGCTTCCTATTTCTTTCCTAATATCATGTTAGTATCATGTTAGGGTTAAAGCTTTGTTCTTTATTGCTTAGTGACATGCTAGGGTTTGTTATTAATTTTGTTAGTATCATGCCTAGGATCTTGCTATTATTATTATGCTTTATTTTTAACATGATTATTATGATGATGATTATTATGTTGTTTGATGATTATTATTGTTATTGCTTGATCACACCTTTTATGCATGTTTAAAGGAAATTTGTACTTGTAATCACGCTTAATAAGATAATTAATAATGTTGTTTGGGTTTATTTGATTATAATTCAAGTGATCCCAATAATAGATTTATTTGTGCATTAATATTCAACCAACATAGATAAAAAGGTTTAGGGTTAACCTAATGATTGCATGTTAGTCAGATTGCGCACATGAATATGAGTAGAATTAAGTAGATGCCTATTTTTGAGGCAGGTTCTTTCTCTTTTAGATTGGATTTGTACATTCATCCTCGAACTTCCAGTCTTGGTTCCAGACCTATTAGAGTTAACGATCTCCTGGATCGTTAAGGGGTGTAACCTTCACCATGTGAACGGTTTACAAGTTCCTAAAACTTGTTGGCGACTCTTTTGCTCTATCTTCCTTCCCTTTGGACGCCACCGTACTTTAGTGTATGAGCACAGTGGGGTTCAAGTTTGGGGTAATGCTTGAAATATTCCCTACAATAATGGATGAAAATAACTATCTTCCAACCATTGTTCAAGGGAAATACTTTTAAGACAAGCTACAAAACAAAACAAACTACATATGACAAATCAAAATGTAGTAAAGGCTTCATATGTGATATGGATAAGAAAATTTCTTATAAAGTCTTTTTACATAGTAAGGAATAAAAGGTGTATAAAATTGTTTGACACACGTTCAATTCCTATACAGAGCAGGGGGTACTACTTAAAAAGTCATACTTAGTACAAAATGTTTGTTACTAAAGTAGGTGCCCTTTATGAAAAAGATGTCATTTTCAAAAGGTCAAGTGGGAGTAGTGTAAATCCCGACAGAGTTTGAGAAAAGAAACAAACAAACATGGTTCAAACCATGGTTGGTTCACCCTATGCTATATACGCCTCTTAAAAAAGCAAGTGGGAGTATAATAATCTCGAAAAGTTTGAGAGCCTTAAAGGAGCTTAAAAAAAGTTAATTCAAAAATCTTGAAGAAATTCGAGAAGTAAACGAATAAAAGTAACAATATGAGCATGATTCACCTAATGTAACAAATGACAATGCGTGGTCTCATTAAGTGTAATGGGAATAATAACCATGTGTCGAAGGTAGTACATTCCAAGTGCAAATCCGCTATTGTCGTTTCTCATTGAAAACTAAATAAAGTTGTAGTACAAGTTTCAATTGTTGTATAAAGACCCACAATGATGACTATCATAATTAAACCTTAACCAAAGAAATATGATTTCATATTGACTAAGAATTCCAAAATATTTATTTTGGAACATGATGATTATGCAAGTAATAAAGTAGATTTGACAAGTTATAACTCCAAGTGGTTTAAAACCATGAAATCTGGAACAGATTCTAAGTTTATAAGCAAGTGTATGACACTTGATTAATTTGCCTAATTGGGTGAGACCCATTATAAGAAAAACAGACCAAAAAGAAAAGTGTTTTCTAACCAATGAAAAGACTTGTTAAAGGATTCAACTAGTTCATAGTATGACTATGACTACAATGAAACCTTTACATTAAGTCATGTTGTAAAGATCTAGTAAAATTATTTTAGTGATTACTACCTTATGAGATTTGGTAGATGGATTATTTCAAAGCCTTTCTTGAAATTGTTCATTAAAGAAGATTTGTATATGATACAGTCAGAATGATTTTGAAAATCCAATAATCCTAAGAATGCATAAATGATCGTATAATGGATTGAAGTTAGCAACATGGAGTTGATTGATGTTCTTGATTTTGTGAGTTAATCAAAATGATTTGATGTTCTCATAAAATGAAGATGTTATGTACACAAGATGTTCAGTGGGAGCTATAAACTCTTCTTAGTCTAGTATAAACAACAATTATTCATTGCTTGAAGAGTCAAGTAATGCCTAATGCATTTTGTATGAAAAACCTTGAAGATGATGATGAGTACATTTGGGATTCGAGATCTTATAGGTCTGGAAGGATGTTTGAGATTGGTTAAGAAGCTTATATTGATAAGATTCATATAATGTTAAACATTATATTGAAAAGAGTTTTAATCCCATGTAACATGGCACAAAGCTTAACAAGATTCAATGTTTTGATTCAAAGGGTACATCATACAACCATGGACTATACTGCTTATACAAATTAAGGTTTTGAGTGATGCTCCTTATGCAGTTTGTAAAGGGTTCATCATACATATCATGGACTATACTCGTCCATTTGATTCACGTGTTTTAAGAACAAATGATGATAGATTCTAATCGAAATCCAATTAAATGTAGGAATATAAATTAGAAAGGAAAAATTAGAAATAATAATCCTAAGTTTCATCGATTTTGTTCCAATAATCTCAACTTTTGATTATTCCAGAATAATCCAAATTTTGGGGGTTCCTCTTTTTCTTCAATCCCAAACCGATCAACGAAAGTCAATGACCTATTATATCAGGTCACTTGACACGTGTCAAGTCTTGATTGGTCAATAACTTTAAAAACACAAATGCAAAAAAAGCCAAAAAAAAAAACAGAAAACCAGCAACCTCCCCTTCCCCCACCAGTTGTATGCCATCTTCGCCGCCCCTTCCACCACCATCCCTACGCTGTGGCGTCTCCCCTCCAATATTGAACAACCGCATCTCCCCCGCCATATAGGACCGCCAAATCGACATTTTCCCCCCTCCGCGAAACCCCCTCCCATACCACCACATAACCACCAATGAAAACCCTCCCCACTGCCAAAAATCCCAAATTGCTCCTCCCAACACCTCCAAAACCTAGCGGATAGAGTTTTTAATGGTGGGGGATGGGTTTTTGGTGATTTTTTAGAGTAGAGGAGATGGTTTTAAGGGGTTTTTGAGTGGTTGCCGGAAAACGGGAAAGAGAGTTAAGGAGAGAGGTTGGGGGATCGCAATCTAGGCGTATAGGGAAGGGAAACCGACGAAAAAGAAGGGAATCAGCGGCGCAGGAGGACGGGTAATAGCAGGAACCAGTCGTTTTTGGGGTTTGGCTGGTGGCCGAAATTGTAAGGGATTTTGTTTGTGGTCGGGGCTCGGGTTGGGGTTTCGTGGAGGGTTTATTGGTGGTTGGTAGGGGTTTTAGGGAGGAGGGCCGGTGGTTTTGAGAGGAAGCCGAAGCGGCGACTCTGTTGGTTGGGGAAAGACGGCGGTCCGGCGAGGGAAGTGGCTGACTGGGCGGGTTGTAAATCTGGCTGGTTTCGAAATTGGTGGTTATTTTTTTGTATTTTAACCAATTAAATCATGACACGTGTCCCTTAAACAAAAAAAATAACCCATTCAACGTGTTACCGGTATTTGGGATTGAAGAAAAAGATGACCCCCCAAAGTTCGAATTATTCCAAAATAATCGAAAGTTAGGATTAATCTTCCAAAATTGATGAATGTTGGGATTATTTTTTCTAATTTTTCCAATTAGAAATTCTTAAGTTCATTCCTTGTGAAAGAACGAAGGAAGACTCTTAGTGTGTGGAGATGAATATCCTTACTTTTACCATTTACAATTTGATACCCTGACCTTCACTTTGTAACTCCTTTGTATGCCTCTCTGTCTAGTTATCTTCTCTCAATTTCTTTCATTACTTCTCTCTATTCTCTACAAGTATTACCCAACTCCTCCATGGAACATTATCCTCTCATTTTCTCCTTCTCTTTGGTAATTTTTAATTTTGATAACAACATTATTTCATTTCATGTTTTTGATGTTGGTTTTGATTTTAATTTTCATTTTTAAGTTTTGATTTTTCTTAGTTTAGGCTTTTCTGAAACAACAAGTTGTTAATTAGCAAGCTTCAAGTTTATTAGTGATGGTGGCAGGTAAATTTTCTATTTTTTATAAGATTTTTGAATTTTTTTTATAAGATTTATGAAATATTTAAATTTATTGAAAATTAAGATATAATTTTTCAGAAACGCATGATTTGGTAAATTTGGTTTCGATTTTTTTGGGTGCTTTGTTATGACAATCAGCAAGGAGCAGGGGCAAAAACTCACTCCCAAAAGGATGAACTCATTTTATAAATTTAACTCATATTTTATGGGCCAATATGATTGTACTCACTATGATTTGTTTGATTTTAGTTCCTTTGTTTTTGTCACACAAGTAAAGTTCATCAAGGTTACATATTAATGCAAGTTTTTCGGTTAGATCTACATGGGTATATTATTTGGGTTAAATTTTGCAATTGTAGTTGTTTTTAAGTTGATTGTTTTAATTGTTTGAGATAATAAAAATGAAATTTGCAGAAAAAAGTTGATTTTATTAAAAGGATCAAATTTGTCATGTAGAGTTTGTGATTCTATGAAACTAGGACTAAGGTTTGTATATCTTCTGCTTTCACAGGTTGTCAACATAAAGATGGTCTAAGGGATATACAATTTCAACAAGGTCCTTGGAATAAGGTAACTCAATAATTTTGCTTGGTTATGTGAAAGTTTTATGTTGTATGAATCATGATTATAGATAGTAATGATGTTTAATGGATTATGGCTTAGGTTTATTTTAATTAAGATGAGGTTACAACATGTACATTGTGGAGGACTATATCAATGGCTTAATTACATTATCATCATCATCTGTTGTTAGATAGTTTAATTGATTTCTGATTATTAATCTACAAATCCTTGATATTTAGGATTGTAATATGGTTATATGGCTAGGATGGTGTGCAATCATATATATACTATAAATTTTATTGAACTGGAAAAAAAAATTAAAGAGAAAGGGATGAATTGAACCTGGTAAGATAAGGGAATAAATAACAGAGATTGTTATGAATTTGGTACTTTGGTGGGTGGATGGGGTAGAACTAAAAAGGGTACACCAATAATAATGTATTAGGTGCTTTAGTTATGCATGATAAGCTAGGAATTTATCATTAATCATCTATATTGTCTCATATCATGAAGTAGGACTACAGAATTGCAGTTGTGGGAATTCCAAAACAATTGACAATGGCTTTCCGGTATACCTTATACATTTTCAATTTCCTCCTTAGCATCTTACCAAAACAATTTAGCTCGTGTACTTTCTTGTGAATCTGCTTGTTTTGATGATGATTTTGTATACTTTCTCTAGTTCATCGACAATTTTAGGTTTGACACCATTATAAAAAGTAAGGGAACTTAGAAGTACTCTCTTAAAATTAATCATAAATAACTTGCGAGGTATTTTTCACCTAAAGAATGAACACAAATACAGTTTGAAAGTCCTGTATTAGGGATCATTAGAGAAAGTGCATTTCATGTTGTATTCTCTTTATTAAACTTGTTTAACATCTTGCAGTTGGTTTATGTACCCACCTTTAGTTATAAGTCATTTCTTCTTCTTCTTTTTTATTTTTAAAAAAAAAACTTATTTTTTAATCTAATATTGAGATATGTTGTTTTGCATTTGAGGTCATATGGAAGGACTTGGGCACCTCCACAAAGGGGTACTATAAGATCAACAAGGATGGTTCATGGATCTCCATGGATAATGCTAGAGCGGGGGGAGTTATAAGATGTTCAAAAGGAAATTGGCAGATAAGTTTTACAATGAAGCTTAATTAAAACTATAGGTACCCTGGTGCAACCTTGGCACAACTCATTGCAATGCACAGAGGTCTAACGACATCAAAGGCGAAAGGTATTAGATTTGTCTACCTAGAAATGGATGCATAGGCCCTCAAATGTATGCTTGACAATGCATATATATGGATCACAAGCTAGGTGCTATTGTTGGTGATGTTGTGAAGTTTCTTCAAAGGGAGTGGTCTGTCACCATACTTCATGTTAAAATCTTTACAAACCTCATTGCGCGTGGCCTAGCTGCTATTAGACGAACCTAAGCTTATGATGATATAGCCTACCACTTCTAGCTACTCCCCAGTTCCTCTCACGAAAGTTTACATGAAGCAGCTGAAGAGTACGATTAATTCTTGCAGTGGCAACAGATTAGCCTACTTGTTATTACTCCAAGTCGCTACAGGACTACTCTATCTATTCCAATTTATTATTGTTGTTGTTATATTTATTTTGCAGGGAAGTTATATTTCCAGGTTTTCTCATGGATGCAAGTTTTGTTGTTTAAAACATCACCATTAATGTAGTTCTATGATGATGAGAACATTTATTAACCGTATAAATTTCTTGATCGTATACATTTATATAACTTGTTACTCTTATTTTGTAGTTATTTACAACTTCCTCTATGAACTTAAAGTAGTTCTATCAAAAGTTTGAACATTGCACCGTTTTACAACATCCATTATATCTATCACCTATAAGTAAATAATTACAACAAAATACCTTGTACATAGTCATATAGAATTAGTGATAAATGTAATTACTCTACTCAAAGGGATAGCCATATTGTGCGCATTGCTCATGTTGGATCCCCTAGTTACTATAAAATTTAGAAGTTGCAAAATTTATGTTCATGAATTTTACTTATTAAACCCCTTCCATGATTAAGGTATTAGAGTCATACAAAGGTTCTTGGATTGAAGCAAGTTATGTAATTTAAGTAGTATGTGTTTTGAGAAAACATTTCACGTAAATAATACATTAACTTGCAGAATTATTTTTATCAATTGAAACAAAATTTCAATCATATTTAATTATGATTTTAATGTAAAATAAAATGTCCAAAATAACTGTGGATTGATGGGCTTATCAGGTTGATGACCTGGTGAATGAAACCCCACAGGTGAACAAAATCCATATATTATTTAAGTTCCTAGTTCGAAATCATTAAAGTGGACATACTCCCTTCGTTTCATATTACTCGCAACAAAGGAATAATATTTTATGTCTTACAAATAATACCACTTTGTTGCGAGTAATATGTAACAGAGGGAGTAAATGATTTCAATTCAAGGACTAGCATGTAAGATTGATTAGGGAGCGCAATTTCATGGGCTATACGAGCGTAGTGAAGCTCGGTCAAACACATGGATATGAATGAATGATGCACGATCGAACTATAGACCTACTTTGAAGAAGTATAGAGCTTCCGAATATATTAGTGGATTCCTTTTACATGAGTGGAACATTGATTCCATTCAATAATTCATTTGACTGTGGTACATTCAAACGTCTACCCGTAACTAGAGATTATAAAGGATGTTTCCTTGTTAATTGAAGATTGAGTGAGAGATTTGGTTGCCACAAGATTGAATTGGGTCTACCTATTTAATTAGGAATGTTTCTTGGCACCTTGAAGAGGGAGAATTCAAAAATTGCATGGCTGTGCTCTCAAATGGATTATATAGTGTAGACACCTAAAAATGTCTCCCCAAAACCAAACCCGATGATGAACACCTTTCACTGCCATTATTGATCAGGTTGAGGATTTGATCTTTGGAGTGCTTAAATCCATGTTCTATCCAATATATTTCATGAACCAATCCAATTTCTAGCTCATTTCCCTAAACCATAACCTATTTTCCACTTTTCATGTCCACATCGCAAAACCGAGAGAAACTGATTTTATGGATATATAATTTTGATCCAATTATTACCTTTTTGGATAGGCCTTGAAAAAATATTTCCAACCATATATCATAAGCCCAATTCAATGCTATAACTATAAAGATATGAGCAAAACACTAAAATCGGCCCAAAACCAACACCCTTACACTAAAACGGCCATATCTTAAAATCTTTAAATGATTTTGACCTTATTCTAATTGTATTAGAAAGTAGACTTGATAAGATTTCCAATGATATATTATATGCCTTATTCCGAGTTACAAATCAAAAGTTATGATGATTTTAAAAACGGGTAAAGAACAAGAACTACCGTGTAAACAACATAACTGCCGCGTCGCGGGAGAGAGTGACGTGGCACGAAGCTTTGTACCATGTCACGACAGTCTTTACCGTGTCGCGGTACACATACCGTGACATGGTGCTTTTCCCCTCCATTTCCGCATGCTTATTCCACCGTGACACGGCGTATTTTACCGAGCCGCAGTGGACTTTGCCGTGTCACGGTGGGCATTTCTGTATCGCGGTATTCTTTGCCGTGTCGCGGTACAAATACCGTGACAATGGATTTTCTCTTGTCTTTTCTGTGTAAACCCTTCACGCGTTGTCACTTCATGTAGGTTAAATATGTCCCGCGTCACTCTAATTTCCCCCGTGACACGGTAGAATCTGCCGTGACGTGGTGGAATCTATCGTGTAGCGGTAACCTTTTTTAGGGTTTTTATCCTCTTTTTAGGGTTCCGTATTTCTTGTGTTTTATCCGCTTTATTTTTTCATGCGCAAACCCCTCGCGTCACACAACACTTCCCCGCGTCACACAAGTTTCCCCCGTGTCACGATAGGTTCTACCGTGTTGCGGTGGAATCTCCCGTGTCACGGTAGGGTTTTTAGGGTTTTTATCCACTTTTTTAGGGTTCTGTGTGTTCCCTACTCATTTTCCCTATAAATACCCCCCTCCTCTCTACAGTTCGAGGCACCAATAATCATTCTCTCTCACCTTACACAAAAAATCGTTCTCTTCTCCCTCTTTAACCTAATTTCTAGCCTCCTTATTCTTCCATAATAATTCCCCTAAGCGCTCCAAGGATTCCATACTTAACCTAAGGTTCCGTCCTTAAACCAAGGCGTGAAAGGTACAAATAATTGTGGGTTTAGAACAAAACAATTCTCTTTTTAAATTTAATTTAATTTCAATTTGATTTACATTCTTATTGAAGTTACTAACAATTTATTCATGATGTAGCAATTCAAGGAAACGCGGAAATTGAGTAATTAATATTTTAATTACTCTTATTATTATTCTTATTTCTAGTATCATGATTAGGATTATTATTTAATTTGACTATCACTATTATTGTTGAATTGCTTCCAATATTGATGTTATTCTATTATATTTATTGATCACCATATTGCATGTTTAAAGGGAATATGTAATTGAAAATCACGCCTAATAAGATAATTTGGAAAACCGGTTTAGGTTCCTTTAATCTTGTTATTTAATTCAAGTGATCACGATATTTTAGAATTCTGTGTTTTATTAATATTCAACCAATTTAGCATAATAATAGTTTGGAGCAAATTGAATCTTTGTTTGCATGCCTTTGAGATAACATGATTACTTTTCACTATAAGAATCGAGTAGAGGCCAATACGGGCGAATGTGACTCCATGACTCACTTTGTACCATCATCCCCAATCCTCCTTTCGTGGCTCCGAACCATATCGAGTTAGTAATCTCATGGATTATGAATGGGGTGTAACCTTCACGGGTCAATCGTTGTTTCCTATCGTTGTCCCTTTTTGTGGTTGCCTTATAATGATCCGTGAACGGTTTACAAGTTCCTTAGAAAATTGTTGGCGGCTCCCTACTTTCCTTGTCCCTTATCGTATATGTCAATTCCCTCATCCTATGGATGCCAAGCATATTCACACATGCTTTAATGTACGCGCACTTCAAGCGACGCCTACACATAGTAATCATTTGTCTTATAATTCTTACTCAAATTTCAAGAAAAGATTTGTAGATTGATATGATCACGACATGAGATGCAATCATATTATCAAATCGGCACACATTGACTTAAGGAATTTGAATATTGCGCAGTTGTCTTAGACAAGTGGGAGATTGAAGGAATTATGTCTTCGATAAGTGCAATTACTAAATATATAAAGGATCATTATTATGGAGATAATAAGTTCATTTTTATGGGTCGTCATTGTCTATTGCTAGATTATGATAAATGATCTTTGGGATATTCAAATAGTCCAAAGCCTATTAGAATGGATCCTATGAGGTCACACAACAAAGGTATTGGGTTAGACAAGTTAGGGGCCCATTATTGGTCCTCATGAGGATATGACATACCATGAATGGAGTTGGGCTAGAGTAGTTAGATTAGAGTTAAGTATTTGGGCTTGACATGGACTCTTATTTGGAGATATGATCTATAAATAAGATCTATGCCTAGGATTGCAATGAGACACAATTCACTAGTCATTAAATTGTAAAACAAGCAACTAATTAATTCCCAAAAACCCTAAGTTCTCTCTTCCTCTCTCTCACTCACGGCCCTCCCCTCTCTCCCCTCCTTACAAATGGCTACCCTAGGTGGTGCGTGGTGTCTCGTGGTGGTAGTTATTGGTTGGTTTGTTCCTCTCCTCTCCGTAGAAGCTCGATTGAAAGGTTCAATTGCATTTAACTAGCATTAGTGGAGGTTTAAACTGTACCCGTACACCAAGTAGAGAAATCACGTTTGAGGTTCTTTATCTCCCATTGTTCTTGCTTGATCGCACATGGAATCGTGCTTCAAAGGTACAATTATATGTTATTTATGTGTTATTCAATGATCTTGGTTATTAGATACTTATAAATATGAATCATGAAATTCCTCTTAGAGTATCTAAATCCCTACACTCTGATCATGCATTTAAGCATGGTGGCGTTCAAAGGGAAAGAAGCTAGAGCAAAAGAGTCGCTAACAAAATTTATGAACTTGAAATTTGTCCACGGGTGTGAAGGTTACACCCCATTCATGATCACAAAGATCGATAACTCCATAGTGGTCCCGAACCATGACTAGATATTCGGGTATGATGGTACGAATTTAACCTAATTGAACCCGCTCTAAATAGGCCTCTATCATTGGCTATCACTTGAATTAAGATAATATTAGCTTAAATCAAATTATCAATTATCTTATTAAGCGTGATTTCAAGTACAAATTCTCTTTAAACCTGCAAGAGAGGGCGTGATCAAGCAATAAAAATAACATCATGAATAATCAAGCAAGGTAATGAGTGACACAATAAATCATCATCATCATCATAATAATACTCTCAAAGCATAATATTAGCATGATCCTAGGCATGGTACTAACAAGATTAACAATAAATCCTAGCATGTCACTAAATATTAAAAATCAAAACTTTATCTTGAATATTATACTAGAAAGAAATATAATGTTAGAAATATTAATTAACATCTTAAACATGACGCTAAGAATTAAAATAATATTCTAAGCATGATTTCTACATAAAAAGATAGTAAATTTTCTCACTTTGAAACATCGTACCTCTTTCTATTAAAAGAATACATATGTTAGTAACTTCAAGAGAGAATAAATCTAATAAGAATTTAAAATAGCTTTGGG